GAGTTTTTAAAACAAATATATGGTCAGAAGTTCTTGATTTTTTACAAAACCCAATTTGGAATTTATCTTCTATTTAAAACAGAATTGAATAACTTACCAAGGCATGAGTTCATTGCAATACCACGGTAATTTTCTAGTTTGCTTGGGTTACCGCTTTTTAAAATTGGTGACAAATATGAGGATGACTACTGTATAGGATATTGACCTGAAGACATCACTAGATTGAAGAGTCTTTTTAGCAGAGGATTTAATACAGAGGAACCTGCTTTCAACATGTCAGCAGGAATTTCATCCAATCCACATGCTTTTCCATTTTAATTTAGATATTGAATCAGAAATTTCTTTTACTGAAATGTTCTACTACAGCATTTATCTCATTTAATCTTAGTATATGGTTTGAAGGTATCTTATTTAGATCTGAAAAATAATTTACCCGTTCAACAGATTGTGCATTATCATTATATGTACCTAGAACATTATCTGCAGCATTCAAGGATATCCTGTTAATTTTTTTCAACTACTTCGTTTATTTTGACCTGAGATTTACGGTTACTGTCTATTGATTCTTATTCGGCTACCAAATCCAAAATCTCGTCCTTATTAATATATTCTAAGAATTCATTCTCTTTTACTATCCCATTTTTGTAATCGTTTAACTTCACTTGCATTTTCCAAGCTGTTCCCATCGATGTGCTCATATAACCCAGTACCATCTTTAAAATGTAATGATAATATTAATGGAGAGTGAACATCCGAGTACAGCTTGGGAAAATCTTGAACATACATATTTACAATGAAACATAGAAAATCATATGTACAAATAAAGTAATCAACAACACTGGACTGGCGGCAAGTAACGCATTCCTTGTCACCGTTAGCTCTGCCATTAAGGATAATTAAATTACTGTTTTTACACATTTCTAACAACATGTTACAAGTTTACTTGTGTCCATACTACATCTAACTTTAGACATAATATCATATATTTCTAAATTGTTTAAAATATCTACATTATCAGTATCGACAATATCATGTTGACTATGAACAATTTCAATATATTCTACATCTCGACTAGTTTTATTGAAATCCCCATTTAAAAGTATATACTTGTACTCTACAGAAATTTAAAAAAAATCCTGTTCTTATTCATTAAATGCATCAGGAACCTTGTATAAAGAATTTTCAGGAGGAATGTAAATATTTCCTATTATTACATCTTGGTCAGTTTTAAGTGAATTTGAAGAAATTTTCCACCAATATACTAAACTACTGTCATTTTCAACTGGCCTTACAAATTTTTCTAGATGTGAGTTATAGCCAAAGTTATTCATTCAGATTGCATAATAAAATATTTTCTGAGAAAAGATACATCAATTAATATAAAATAAGGACGTGGTATGATTGCCAATGAGACTACTATCCAACAGAGTCCAAGGAGATGTGATATGATTAACAATGAGACAACTATCCAAAAGAGTTCAAATGACGTGGATTTATGCAAGTATAGGTCACCGTACGGCCTTCAACAATGAGCAAAACCAATACCATATTGTCAGGTGTAAAAGGGCCTGACGTAGCCAATTGTGAATTAATTTCAACAAAATCACAGATATAACAGACATCAACCAAAGACAACCACTGAATTACAGGTTCCTGGTTTAGGACAGACACATACATAACTTGATGTGGCGGGATTTAACATTATTGTGAGCGCTCAAACCTCCCCTTACCTTGTACAATGGTGTAACAACACATCATAAGAAAAAGTGAACAACCTCGGCCTATCATCGCAAGGTCTATTTACCACAACGATCTGGCGATGGAATGTATTCTTTTCACAGAATCAAAATGCAAAATTATAATTTGAAACTTGGCAGGTAGATAGAACATGAATACTCGGCACATATGTTTCAGTAAATTGCTCGGGCATACCTATTGCCAATTCAGCTTTGAAATAAGTGAAGTGGTGCCTGCTGGTGTATAATTTATAGCACGAGCGGCGGTGCATTATTTTGTAATCATCACTCCGAAGGTGATTTAGGTCGAAAACATCATACAACATAGACTTGATCTTTCCGGGCTTCCAAAGCTTCGATAAGGCTCAGTGGCGGATCCAGGGGGGGTGGGGTGGGGGTCCGGGGGTTGGAACCCCCCTTTTTTTGACGATCAATGTATTTGAGTTGGACCCCCCCCCCCCTCCCCCCGCTTTATCCTGGGTTAGGAACCCCCCCTTTTATAAATGGCTGGATCCGCCCCTGAGGCTATTTTTGCTTGCATGTGCCTCTCATATTTTTACGAATGTGCCGTAATCCGGGTCTGAAATGTAACCATCCGATTTGCTTCTTAAGGTTCATCATAACAAATGGACAAATATGGCCGTATTTTCACCTCAAAAACTACTCTGTGTACAGACTTACCTGAGCAGTTTGGAAAGTTTTAAGGCCTGGCATCCACTAGATATATAAAAGTTAAATGTATTTTGTATATCAGAAAGGTAAAATCTTTTTTGGATTTTAATGGGCATTTTTTTTCCTTCCTGCAGAAGGTGTAAAAATAAACTAAGTTGGGATACAACTTTGAGATGCTCCCTCTCAGGTAACAACTGGTTTGTATTGTATTGATTGTACTTGATTGGCATGGACAATAGATATCTACACATCTATAGGTGAGTTAAAGGTAGTAACTGAGTGGACAGTATCAAATGCAATTCAGGTGTATGTTTATTTTTACACCTTCTGCAGGAAGGAAAAAAAATGCCCATCAAAATCCAAAAACGATTTTATCTTTCTGAAACACAAAATGCATTTAACTTTTATATATCTAGTGGATGCCAGACCTAAAAACTTTCCAAACTGCACAGGTAAGTCTGTACACAGAGTAGTTTTTGATGTGAAAATACGGCCATATTTGTCCATTTGTTATGATGAACCTTAAAGCTACAATTATAACAAACATTCAATAAATAGTTTAAATTATGAAAAACCGACACAAAACATATTCCTCCTCCGAACAGAACAAACATCTACAACATTAAATGATCATTTAAAACAAATAAATCAACCATACAACAAGCAACAATGAGAAATGTATTAAATGAGAACTATATAGCTAATGACCTAGTTAATGACCTAATAGCGTGAGCAACACAATTATTACCGGCAGGAGATCAATACAAAAATGTTGACTTAATTTGTGTTTTCAATTGCTAATTTCCTCACAACGCCTTCCATATTATACACAGGAAATTTAACACACATACACACATGAACGAGGGTTGGAATGGGGTACCCCACATGACGAATGACGGTATTTGTAATATTTTTAAGGAATGACTGTAATATTTTTTCTGTCTATGAAGAAATAACATCAAAAATGTGATGCACACTGAATAACCCGCGTAGCGGGTTATTTAAAAGTGTGCACCACATTTTTTATGTTATTTCGAATAAACAGAAAAAATATTACAGTCATTTCTTATAATTTAATTCTAAATTTTATTTTAAACCAGAGTAAACCATGAAAAAACGTTGATGACGTCACGGTCACATGACAGAATTATGTCTATGAGCTGATAAACAAAACAACGTCAGCCAATCAGAAGACGCGTTACATCCAAAATTAAATTATGTTAAAATAACGTTAACAATAAATATTTTAATGCATTTGACGCTAACGGTAGCTACAGAATGAGGTGTGACGAATAAAGATAAAAAAATTAAGGCTCATTTGACGCTAACTGTAGCGAAAAAGGGACGTTTGAGACTTGACGGTATAGGGCATTCCTACCATCATGAACTGTGTCTTATTGCTTTAATCAGACTATCAAGATCTCGTTATAGTAAAGAAACGACCATTTGATATTCAGGAGGAAAGGGGAGGAGGGGAGAAGGGGGAGGTAGGGAGGGTTACAAGATGATTTATTTTTCCGGATTGATAATTTATTTTCCAGATTGATTATTTTTTTCCGTTGCTTTGCCGCCCGAAAATTTATTAGTTCTTATCAGGCCAAGTTAATCATTTTCAAAATCCTCCTCTCCCCTAGAAAATCAAATGGTCGTCCCCTAACATGTAATAACTTTGTTTTCGATGAAAAAGTGGTAATTAGGGTAAAGTTTTAGTCTTACCAAAAATGATGTAATACTTATACTAAAATTACTTAGATATTTTTCAGGTTAGTTATATTTTTCATTCAATATATACACTATATTTTAAGTATCATTTCAACCACCAACAAAGAGCGCAATAATTTTATTTTCATGTGAAGGATTCACCGTACAATACGGTATCTGGGGGTACCCTGTAAAATACGAAATTTAGAAAATCGTGACCATGGAAAATTACGACGACAATCATGATTGTAAAATATAATGATTTTCCAAAGTTTGGAAATAAATTTAACCTTGTGCTTTTTCTTTTACTTAATCTCGCTAACCAGAGGCCATTTTGACACTGGGCAACCTACTATGGGATTTAAGTTTTTTTTTAAAACATCAATAACTTTGTCAAACCTTCACAGAATTTAATGAAACTGTGACAGAAACGCTTTTCTGATAAAGAGATAATTTCTGAAGCAATTTAGAATATTTTTTTGTGTTATTTTTAGTATTTTACTGATAGACGAATTTAATTTTTTTTTGCAGTTAAGATTAATATTCAGTCTGGAATTAAATTCATTTTAACAATCAAACCTTGATGGAATATCATGAAACTTGAACAAAAGCTTCTTAAGATAAATTCAAAGAATAGCAAATGAAGAAAAATGCTCGATTTAAAAAATAAATCCGTATTTTACTAATAAATGGACTTGGTAGTCAACGTTACACTTCTACACTCACAGAACTGTTTCTACACCCTTTACGATGTTTTTTTTTTTATAAACGGACTTCAGTTTGTACGAAATGTAATTAATTATATAAAACAATGTAAATAAACCATTTGATACAGTGTGTGATCATGGGCGATAAAAATATATTTAAATATTACAAGTGTATAATGTTGACAACTTCCGATTCTACTTGTTATATATAAGAAGGAAGCACGGACACCATCCCCTCGGTAGAGTCTGATCATATTTATAACATGGATGTATTTGTTTTAACGTGGTTAATTTATGGAGTACAGAGTTTTAATGTAGATACAGACAATGTGGTCAGTATGAGGGGACCAGACGGGACATATTTTGGATATTCGGCAGTTATGTATGGTAATGATGACGGAAAACAATGGTAAGTAGATCTCTGATGGAACCTTTCATTTCAAAGTGAACTAAATGCTCCCTTTCTGTACAGTATATCAATTATTATAAACAAATTATTGAATGTAGTGTTTACTGTATTGACTAGTTTACAAAATATTCATAGTCAACAGCTGGTTTATAAATATCTTTTACAGTATAATACACGCATTCAATTTATTTTTTTAATGTGCAACGCGGGTACGTGTAAATGTTCGTGAATGGTTGACTAAAGTCTTAGTAATTATCGACAAAACAAAAACAAATATTCTATAAAGGTTGTTTGATTATCGACATGACTATTCGGTGAAATACATACCATCATAACGTTAGGGCCGTTTGATATAGTACGGTGATAAGTTATTCAGTGAAATACATACCATCATAACATTAGGGCCGTTTGATATAGTACGGTGATAAGTAAGGTAAATTAAAAAATTTAATGGACCGAAATACCTCAGGGCTAGTTTAAAAAATTGTTCAATTTCTCGGTCGTCCCTCATGATATCTGAGAAAAACTTTCTATGGAATCATGCTCTGGGAATGTTGCACAAATTCAGCTTGTCATATTTATGCCTGATTGCCACAGATTAGTGATGTATACCCCCGCTTCTAACATGTAAGAAAATGAAGTAAAATATCTTTATCTTCAGAAATTATCGACAAAAAATATTTATATGTTATATTTAGCTATGCAATAATATATGACAATATATAAATATATATTTGGGAAAGTTTTGTTAACATGCCATACACAACAAAGGAGAAATTAGTACTGTAAAGTTAACACCCGGTCCATGATTCAATGAAAAAATGAAGAAATTCATTATTGATTATTTAAACCCAAAAGAATGTTGGAACTATAATAGTCTTGATGCATGCATTTCAGCATGAACACGATAGTATATGAAGTTTTTTTTAAAGTAAATAGGTCAATCAGTACAATAGCAATAGCATATTCAACACTTGTTTCCCCCTTTTTATAAAACAACACAAACAATGGAATATATAACAGACTTGACTAAACCCAATTTTAAAGCCCGATAAATATTTGAATTACAAACAAACACGATTTACAGACACATTACGCTACATTTTGTGTCTTTGAAAGCTGACTAGGTATATATTACACTAACACTAGACATCAATATGCACGTCCATTTGAAAAAACAACGGAATACCTTAAGGACCGTTTCATTATTGATAGGACTTTCAGAAGTTTATATACCATTATGACCGTTTGATTATCTAAATAACAGCGGTTAACAAATAATATTATATGACATCAAAACAAGTTCAAAAGGGAATCATATTTATGTCAAGTTATAAGAAATTTCAGTATCGAAAAAAAGTTTCTCAATTTAGAACTAGTGCTCATCAGTTAGCTCAATGATTAAGAAATGTTGATATAAAAGAATCGATAAAGATAAAATATTTTGTGGGCAATGTAAAATAATGCAGGTTGAAGATAAGTTTCATTTTTTGATGGAATGCACTCCATATGAAAAGGACAGACATTTTATTCTTAAGGAAGCATGTATTCAATGTAAAAACTTCCCTTATATTTCAAAGAACGAACAGTTTATTTGGTTGATATAGAGTCTGAAAATGTTAATATATCAGTGTCGAGATTTATAGGTACTTGTTTTGAAATAAGAGAAATTCTTCATTCCAGTAAGTGGATATACATGTATTGTATGCTCTATGTATGAAAAAGGGTTAATATTCTGTTTATTTTTATTTTTTTTTTATTCACCTTGTATGGAGTATAATATTTATTGATTTATTTCCCATGTCACATATGTGAACAATGTTTTGGGGTGTGTTCCGATGGTTACTGACGATTGAATACAGTAATGGCTATTTCTTTATACTTAAAGTTCTTCTGCTGACTGTTAGGCTGTAGTTAAAACAAGCAATTTAATATACAACTTTATTGAGTGCTGGTAGAAATCTAACGACCTAACTTACAATTTAGTTTCCATGAGGTTCGGCAAGGTTTACTTTTAGTGAGAACAAAAGGTTAGATTAAAAGATTTCCCCTAGTTGGCCCTAAGGGGGAAGCTAACAAAACTGTAGCTATTATATATTGTCAACTAAAACGGATAAGTGGGAATCGTTGAGAAGGAAATAATCCAAGATTATATGATATCAATTTATACGGATACAAATTTATTCCACTCTATTGTCCTGTGTCTTAAGATAAATTTCTCGGATGATAAAAGTTAATTTACATGACTGCTAAAGTTGACATATGTAATAAAATAAATCGGAACAATTAATGCAAAATTCTTTCAATCAATAAAGTTAGAATGTAGTTGATGATGCAAGCAGTTGAACGTACAGACCATAAGGAAGTTTTGTTATCAACGTGACTGAGATACATCAGCATGAAATAGATTTACATACCATAAGGGCGAATTGGGTATCAGCATGAACTAGATTTACTTAACCCATTTCTCTGACGTCAGTCTATTGTTCTTACTGTAGATTATTTTTCAAGAATCCACGGACCACAGTATTAACTTAAGAGAACTTATATTATAACTTTAAACCTTTAACTTCCGATCTGTTATCCTCTCAAAAACGAGTTGCCTGTGTAGGATTCGAACCCGCGCGTATTTTCTTCATAATCATTAGAGACTTCAGTCTATGCATTTTTTTTTATCTTTATTAAAATAAGACATCATATTATACACATTTAAATACATAAAACAATATCACAAGTGTCAGTATCAATTTAAAATGTCTATAACATTCAATTATAAGCTTCTGTATAAATGTCTACATGACACAATCAGTTTTTATATTCAAATTACTACAATTTAAATATTATATCATCATCTACTTCTTTTACCAGAGGATTATCAAGCAAAAATTTCTTTTCAAATAAAGAATGCATTGTATGTTTTTGACACATATACACATAAAAATACATGACGTGATGTTTCAGTGTGTACTTGAAAAGTTGAACTAAATTAACATTTGTTTTGCCATTCATAATAATATTCCTTCTTCTAAATATACAATATCTTGCAGTTGAAAGCAGAAAGTTAACAAAACTGTCATTAACACCTTTCATTTTCCAATTTAACCCAAATAGTAGCAAATGTTCACTGTACACCACTTATTCTGTCAGAATCACAATTTTCAAATAATTTCACAAATAATTCAGACAAATAGTTATGAAATTCTAAAAGTTCATTACAGTTTATAAACATATGTACTAGATCTTCAATTACACTACCACAAACATCACATAAATCATCACCAGACCATCCAATTCTTTTAATTTACTTTTGGTAAATATACAATTATAAAGTATTTTGTAATCTAGCTCAATAAACTTTGCAGGTTTCCAGAATAAATTTACATTACACCAGATTTTACTAAAGTCATTATCATCAATATTAAACAGTGTTTTCCACATTTCAATACCACAGGGATCTTTACAAATATTATCTAATAAACAATTATACAGCTTTTTAACAGTACACAACGGTAACTCAAATGGTACATGATTAATAATAATAGAAATGTCTATTGTTCGTTTTGCATTCCTATGATGCAATTCACTTTGCACTGTCTGCTTCCATTCATCAGGAATTGCACAAATTAAACAATGATAACGATCAATCACATTCTTTGAATTTTCAAATACATTTTGTATTATTTCAACAATAGCACAATCAGGTAAAAATCCTGTTTTAACCTCATAACATATGTCCTTAAGACTAACGTACTAAACCAGCATTTATAAAATCATACCAAAGTATTGGTTTATCCTTCAATACAATCTCCGGATTCTTAAACAATGGTTGGTCATATATATTTTCTACACTTAATTTCAATTCAGACGTCCGTCTCAAAACATACCAAGCTTCTAACATTTCAATATACACAATCGGTAAACATTTTAACTCACAATGTGGTACTTGAATAAACAATACTTCTAACCCTAGATTCATATTATAAATCTTTGATACAAAATATTTGAAAGTACACTTCCACAATACATCATATTCATCATTTATTAATCTTCCTAAAAACTTAAGTCTAAATGCATGTATTTTACATTTCATGTCAACTAATTGCAAACCTCCATTACATTTAGGATTTATTATAACATTATAATTCACCAAATGAGATCTCTTATTCCATACAAAATTAACACATAAAATCTTTATCTCATTATATGCCCATTCAGGGATAAAGAATTACAAAAAGAGCGTACCAAAATCTAGACATTATCAACGTATTTACAACAATAACTCTACCTTGCAGCGTTAATTGCCTTTGTAACCATATATTCAAAAGAGATTTCAATTTTGATATCTTTTCTTTCCAATTTAAATCATCACATACATTTCTGTTTTTTCCAACATAAATACCAAGTAATTGTACATTATTATCACATACTTGTAAACCATACTCCTGTTTTTCTACAGGTGACAATTCTCCCTTTCCAACACACAAAATTTCAGATTTTTGTCTATTTATTTTAGCACCAGTTGCTCTGCTATATAAATCAAAAACTCTAAAAACTTCTGATATAGATTGTTTATTACAAACAGATAAAGTTGTATCGTCTACATGCTGAAAAATTAACCCTTCTTTTTCACTATTTGGAACAACAATACCTTTTATCAAATCAATTTTAACAATCTTACTATGTAATGGCTCAACAGTTAAAACATACAATAATGCACTTATAGTACAGCCTTGTCTAATACCATTCTTAATGCAAAAATAATTTGTTAAGAAACCATTGCATTTTACTGCACTATTAATACCATTATAAAATATTTCTATCCATTTAATAAATTTATCTCCAAAACCATATCTTTTTAAAACCTTCAATAAATATGAGTGACTAACTCTATCAAATGCTTTTTCTTGATCAATTTTGATAATATAACCTTAAAGTTCATATCTTTCAATAATTTCTATGATATCTCCGACATTTGCTGCATTATTAGATATATCTCGACC